CTAAACGATTTATACCTATCGGAGAAGCAGATTTATAGCGTTTTCGATTTTACAGGATTTGAACGACCCAAGATTGGTTAATGACGTCATTGCAACCTCTCCACCAATGAAAGACTTGCATTTATAGTAAAATAGTGATTGATCAACCCTAGATCGTTCAAACCCCGTTTATTCGAAAACGCTATTAGTATTTGGTACGCGTACTAAACAATCGGTGTAAACTAAGCCATTATTTATCAAAGTGTACAATCTAGTGTACAATCTAGTGTACAATAGAAGAACAGCAATACACGACATGTGGTTTTCTCTCGGCTCGCGACAAGTGCCCATTCCAGCATATGTATAGTTCAGTGCATTAGTACCAAATACATCCAATCGAAAACTCCAACAGCCTTTGGCTGCGTTTCGAAATTCACTGCCAGTACTGAAAATCTACAATATACGTAACGTAAGCTGTAGATTTTCAGTACTGGCAGTGAATTTTGGAACACAGCCTTTACCATTGTATTTAATGCGCATACGCAGAGGCACTCCTTTTTCTTTCTAACACATTGAACTGCACTGAGCTTCGTGCCATTTCGTAAGATTTCATGTAAGTGTGTACAACTGCGTATAACTGCGTTGCTTCGCATGTGAGTTGTGAATGGTGTTGAGAAAATATTCGCGCTCCTTGCGTAAATTTACGTGATCTTACGTATAGGTGAGTAAAAATTCAGATATTTGCAATCGAGAGTAACAATTAACCATTCGGTTAATATGTTTACTGTTTTCTTTTTCTCCAGCAATGGCAGACTGAGATAATCAGTTCATAACCAAAACGAAATTTAATGCGCATTACGCTTCTCTTCAGATAATTTATGTATTTTGAATTACACAAATTGAATTTATTTAAAAAAGATTATTTTTTTTTATGTGTTATAACTTATGTGTTATAACTTAACCTAGTGATTATAGATACATGTATAACAATGCTACTCTTATATGGCGTTCTTAGCTATAAATCTAAATACTATGTTTATATGTGTGTAAAATATTTCAGATAGACATTCTTCTATCAGTTATATATTCTGCAATAACACTTGCAAATATAAATTATTTTTAATTGCTAAGCATTTATAAACCATAAAGTGTACGAATCTCACTGACAAGATAGTGAACATTTCATACATTGTTTTATTATTTATATTGCATATCTGTGCAAAATTTAGGCACAATTTTCTGATTAGTTTGAAAGTTATTTAGTTTTTATGAAAAATTGTGTACTGCTGTGTACTTAATAAATTTGGCAAGGAAGAAATCAACCAGATTAAATTTTTTATATGTATTGATAAAACTAATAAATATTTGTGTAAAATTCCATTTGAATTTACTGGTTAATTTAAAAATTATTTATCAACTTTTAACTACTTTTCTATCAGATAGGAAAAAATTTAAAATTTAAAAATTTACCCCTTTGCTTAAAAAAAAATTTAAAAATGCCTCTCTTTGCTTTAAAAAAAAAAAAAGAAATTTAAAATTCAAAGACATCTTCCTTTGCTTTAAAAAAAAAAAAGAGCAAATTTAAAGATCCCCTTGCATTAAAAAAAAATCCAAAATCCACTCCTTTGCTTAAAATAAAAAAAAATTTTAAATAAAAAATCCACTCCATTGCTTAAACAAAAAATTCAAAATTTAAGACTCACCCCTTTGTTCAAGTATATTTTTTATATTATAAATCAGAGAAGTAGTTAATTACATGTTATAACCATATTTCTTAAAGTTTTCTTTAACTAGTGTGCACGTTCAATCATTACGTACAATCATGTAATAAAATAGAATAAAAGCAATAATTTTTTCTAATTGATCCAGGTTCTGTATTCTGAAATGTAAGATATATGAATCACTCAATTAATAATTGGTTATTAATAGTTTATTTATTAAATATTACAGAATATTATTTTTAAAAAACTTGTTACAAAATTTGTCCACAAAAATTTAAAGAGTTAATACCTAAAAAATACTTATTAACTAATATAAGATTGTTTTTAATTATTTCAATATTGCTTTTATCTTGTTTTAAAATAACAGACAATTCCTGTGACAGATAAAACAACAATTATGCAAATTGTTGTACAAGAGATAATATAAAATTCTTTTTATTTTATTTTAGGTTGCTTAAACAAGGTTCTGTTTTAACTGTCAAACATGTTTGGGCAAAGCGGAAATACATCATTTAGTACGTATTGAATACATTGATATTTTTTGAGAATTTTAGTTTTATTAAAATAAAACAAGAATTTAATTTTACTATTAAAATACAGAAATTTATTTAAAATGTGTCTTACAAGGTATTTATTTCTTTTAGGTGGATTTAGCACAGCAACGCAAAACAGTCCATTTGGTCAATCTGCATTCGGTAAACCCATTACTACAACAAGTTTTGGTAGTGGCGCAACACCTGTCTTTGGTAGTAGCAATACTTCATCACTCTTTAGTTCTAAGCCCACAGGTTCTACTACAGGTGGCTTGTTTGGCAATACCACAACGCCACCGGCATTTAGACAGCCAACTAATGCTCAACCATCCTTTGGAGGTAGCGATTTATAAACTGTTTCATTTGCATGTACAACTAGAAAATATCTTCCTGTATGTACTTACAAGGCATTCATGCATTTGGAACACCCTAATTGTTGTATATTGTTATGTAATATCATATTTTTGTATGTTTGTAAAAAACAAAATTTTAATTCAATTAATTCAAAGAGTTAATAATTAATTCAATCCAAAGAATTACTTGAAAGATTTAAGTAATTTTAACACATAATATAATTATTTTTGTTTAAGAAAATGTAACAAATTGTAAAAAAAATTTAAATTAATTTGGAACTATTTTTATTATCTTTATTATATTTGAAAATGTACAATTTATGCCTATTTATTCATATATTGGTTTGGAATATAAAGAATATTGATGCATTAAATAGCATATAACAATTAAAACGATTTATTCTGTAGATTTGGTGTGTAGATATATAAACCAATAATTTCAAGTAGACACAGGCAATAAATATAGATCTTATTTTACAAATGTAATAATATTGTTGCATGTTAAAATCTGAAAGATATATTTTTATTTTCTTTATTTTTTTATTACAGGTTTTGGAACAACAAATGCAAGTTCTAATCTTTTTGGTACCCAGCAAAATACAGGAACAAATCTTTTCGGTACAAGCACAGGGACTTCAGCCTTTGGTCAAGCAAACAAACCTGGTGGGTTCAGTTTTGGCACAACATCTGGAACTAATCTATTCGGACAACCACAACAGAATGCGCAACAAACTACTCCGTTTGGTCAAACCAATACCACCACAAATACAAATCTTTTTGGTACAACTACAGGTAAACTATAAACAGCAACGGCTGTGTATTTTATCCGTATTAAATGTGATTGTGTATAAGATGTTTCTCAAGTACATGTGAATACTTTAAAGAGTAAATACAGGGTTAAAGAAAGGAGAAAAAATAAATTTATATGAATATAAATAATGATATAGAAAGCAATTAAAACCACACAAAAGTGCTGTAGTCAAAGCGTAAGAATTAGGAACTATTGTTAATCAAGATATAAAAAATGTTTTAGCCACAATACTGAATCCTCTTTAGCTTGAAAAAAAGAAGAAAATGAAAAGTATATATTATAGATATATAGATATATTATAGATTAAAAGTATATATAGATTATATAGATTACATAGGTAAAATATTAAAAACTCGAACCAATATAACAGAATTAAAACTGTTATCAACCGCATATGTAGCACCAATCGATATAATATGTTAGAGAAAATTTAAGTTTCAAATATTTTCAAATCTATTACTTTTTGTTTTTTTTGTTTTTTTTTTGTTTTTTGTTGCAAATTAAATTAACTACACATGTTGATATTGTGTTGTACGCATAACAGATTTTAAAAGTTTCCAGAAATAAAAAAGTAACGCATTTGTATGCGGGAGATCGAGGTTATGCTATCGTTCTTTTTTATTCTGTTATTTTTTGGGAAAACAGTTTTAAAATGTACAGACTGTAGCTAGAAAATATGATAGATTATCATGCATAAACCACATCACATGTGGTTGTGATAGGTTCTAGATTACACATTTTTTAAGAATTTATTTGAAATACCTATTGTAAGTATAAACAGGGGCGGATTTCCCATTAGGTTGGATAGGTTATAGCCTAGGGCGGCAGATTTTAGGAAGCGGCAAATTTTTAATTTTTGAATTAAAAAAAAATTTATTAATACTCGATTTATATTCGAAATACATTCTGATTTTCATCAAAAGAGTCATAATATAAATATGTTCGTGATCATTACTGTTAAAGAGTGTATGAAGTGCTATTTTTTCCGGCGTTTTCGGCGAAATTTATTTCCCGTTTTTCTTCTCCAATTCTCAACCGATTTTGCTGAAATTTTTTCTTTGAGTTTTTTTAATATTAAAAATTTTTTTACGTTCTTTACATTTCTGGCTTTATATGCTCGGGGTAACATTAAATATCATAGAAAAAATGTCAACAAAATCGGTTGAGAATTGGAGAAGAAAAACTGGAAACGCGCGCGCGCGAGAGAGAGAATGTGTTATTTATTATTATTCAAAGAATCCTATATATAAGATACCTGTTTTCTATTTTATTATCTATTTCTTATTTAATTAATAAAAAAATTTCCCCTTGCTCCACTGTCATTAAGGGGCGGCAAATTTGATTCAGTCTAGGAGCGGCAGAAACCGAAATCCGTCCCTGAGTATAAATAGTATTTTTTTTGACGAGTGTAAAATTTGATATTAAGACGTGCCACAGCACATATTACAATAGAAGGTAGGCACTTGTTAAAGCACTTGTTTTACAATAGAAGGTAGGCACTTGTTTTTTTTTAATTTGTCATAATTTAAAAAATATAGCCTACAAACGATGTGTGATACTTTTTATATTTATATAATATGTTTTGTTTTTTCGCTCTACATTTATCCTCTGAAGTATTAACACATGCATTTAAAACTCACGTTGTACATTATTTCTCTATAATAGATATTAATTAAAATTAAGATATCTATAATAGATATTAATTAAAAATATTAACCAAGCTGATAGATGCTTTCCTGCAAGAACACAGCTATATATTGTTACATAACAGAGTGTATAGGTGCTAGATGAAACTTATTGTAATTTTCGATACAGTTACTAATTTAGCTACTAATTACGCTTAGATTTTTTGATCTTTCGAATAATATTGGCTTGCAAAATTTTGTTGTTTGGTAACGAATACTTTCCCACAGTTTTTCTACATCTAATGCAAATCCGGTTTCGAAAAGAGCGTGTTACATTAGAATTTTGAGAAAATTAAAGAAAAACATGTGAAAATGAACGATTTTGGCAATATCCCTTCGAGTGTTATAGACGCACATATGCGAGCTACAAATGTCGTCAGTGGCGTAGGCCACTAAAAATTAACATATTAAAATTATGATTTTAATGTTCCATTCTTTATATTTTTTTGTGTTTGATTGTTTAAATTAATATTAATTTATATTTGTAATGTTAATGTTTGTAAATATAAAATTTTTTAAAAGGGAACAATTAATAGATGTGCTTGATAAAAACAAAAGAATTTTATTTAATCTCCACTCTTAAAAAAGGCATGTAAAGTCGATTATTCGCATATATCGAAATTTATTGTTGTCGCTTTTTCGCGACGCTGATTGGGGTTATCTCGATTATTCTGACAGTTTGATAGTTTGAAAGCGAAGGTTATTTTGACGGTTATTTAAAATAAAATAAAAAAAATTTTTATTAAATTATTTAGATTTCATAATTATTAAATCATCATAATAAGTGCGCGCGCGTAGTGCGCGCCTGTATTGTTCTAGTGTATCAAATTTTACATAAACAATTAAAATATGATTTAATTATACCTTATATGTTAGATAGTATATATCTTTATATACAATACACGGTACGTGAAAAAATATTTTGTTCCCAACAATTGTGATCGCAGGTTGCAAATCGTCTGTATTAAGCGTTTAGCTCTGAAATGCGTTGCTCAAAGAAATATTTATAATGTTGTCTTGATCAAAATAAATTTTTTTTTAATAATTACATTATTTTTAAGTATTAATTTTTGTTAATTAAATACTTTGAATTAAAGACTGAAAGAGATATAAAAGAAAAGAAGTGTAATGTAAATCATTTCTGCGTGATGCACATGATATGCAGAGGGATAACGTTGAATAAAATTAATCTTACACATATAGTTAAATGGTCTTATAATAGTTTGGTAAGCTCACGACAAACATCATTTGTAAATCTTATATGCGAAATGAAACCAAAGATTTATTAATGGAAAAATATGTTTTCTAGGAAGTCGTTTTGTTTTTTTCTCGTTTTCTTTCTTTCCACCAAAGGGTAAATCGATTTTTAAAAAATTGTACGAAACAAAAATCAAATTTATATTAAAATGAAAATAATATTTTAAGATATTGCAAACAATATTGCAAAAAAGCTTCTCCTTCTCCCCCTTTTTAAAAATAATTTGTAAGTATTGCAAACAATAGTATTTTGGAATTTCTTTCTTTGACTTTTTTGAAAATCCGGTTATGGCAAGTACTTTTTAAAACTGGGTTCAAATTTAGCGCGCATAGAAAAAACTACAGAAAACATTTTTTTTTCCTAAACAACAGACTCGTGTAAGGTAGTGCAATCTTTTTAATTTATTTATCTTTAAATACTTATTATTCTTATTTAAAGTAGCTATAGCATATAGCAGTTGTTGATATAAAAACGGATTATTTGCTTATTATAATCCTAATGTAATAAAAAAAGTTAACTTTTGTTTTGACATAGGGTTAGGGAAGTTTCATTATATTATTAATAAATTATTGATTAATCAAACTTTAACTAAATAATTAACTAATTAAATTTTTGAGCGTAAAGTAAAAGTCAAAGACAAAACGGCATTTTGATATTCAATACTATTAGCACAAACATTTTTAAAATTAAAAAAATTGACAATTATATAATTCCCCAATACACAAATGTTTAGATTTTGCTTTTAAACTATATTGATTTGCGTCGACTGGTATTATTGTAGGAAAGTAGACGCTTGTATTGTTATTGTGTTAACTATGTTTCCTGTTAGAAAGCATCTAAAGATACCTTTAACATTAAATTATTTTTATTTCTCTCTGCACAGGTTTTGGCAATACCAATACTACTACTGTACCAACTGGCACTGTAGTGAAATTCACACCTGTTATTACGACTGATTCTATGTCAAAGAATGGAATATCTCACAGCATTTCCGCACGTCATTGCTGCATTGCATCTATGAAGGAATATGAATCCAAGTCATATGAGGAATTACGTTTTGAAGATTATCAAGTAGGAAGAAAAGGTACATTTTAATTCATTGAATTCAAAAAAATAAAAAAAAACCTTAAAAAATCTAAAAAAATCTAAAAATGTTGATCTTTTTCTTTCTTTTATTTCTTAAATAGGCCCGCAAACGGGACTTTTTGGAGCAGCACAAACATCACCGTTTGGTAGCACTGCAGCTGGTACTAGTACAGCTGGGACCGGTAAGTTATGCAATACAAAACATTTGTGTTATTGTTTTATTGCGTGTGTTTACATAATATTTATGTAATGCTTATTTAAAGTAGGAGAAATTTGATTTATATTTATTAAAGAATTATACATTATTAATTTTTTAAATTTACTTTTCTCGAAAAAGGTTTTGGATCAATGACTGGAGGATTTGGCACCACTAGTCAATCAGGATCAACCGGACTATTTGGAAAACCCATTACTAATTTTGGAACACCAGCAACTACAACAACTAACAATTTTGCATTTAATTCTACACCTACCACAAATCTATTTGGTCCTAATACTCAAACGAAACCATTTGGCAGTAAGTTATAATAAATATCTTCATATTTACATATATAGGGTGGACTGCATAAGTGTATTCATTGAATATCTCGGGAAGGATGCATTATGCTTCAGGATAAAAGTTATACTATGTATATCGGCAAAATTTGATCGCTTAACTTTGGGATTTTCCTGTGTGCTATATGTAGTACGACTACAAACGATATCACTACTACTATGCTAACAGCGAGAGAATTTTTGAAAAATAAAATAAGTTTGAGTTTGTATTTTAAAATACAGCTTTTATTTTAAATTGCAATCAAAGATTTAAAGCGGGCTACATTTGATTTTTTAAAATAATTTCTAATTATAATAATTCACAAATTTTTGGATATTCTATGTGTATATAAATCTCGATATCAATATTTATAATTAATTTATATACTTATCAAGGACTCTATGTTGTTTAAATATTTTTTATAATTAATAGTTTGTAATAATAGTTTTGAAAATTTGAGTATATTTTATTATATTTTAATGTGTGTGATTCTCTAGCTTTCCTTTTATTATTTGAACAAAATATAAGAAGTTTAAAAGTACAAAATAAAATGTGAACTTTTATCTATAGCAGCCGCTCCGACACCGCTTTTTGGTACTAGCAATACCAATCAAAGTGCTGGTACAGGCTTTGGTGGTATTAATACTGGACAAAATACAGGTTTTGGATCTGCGTTTGGTTCCGCACAGCCAAATCAGGTAATGTACGATATACGAAGCATATAAGAAACGAAATTATTCTTCGGCTTTGTTTATAGAGCATTGGATTGTTCAATCAAAACAAATCTGCTTTTAATATACCGTCAACGTCGACTAGTACTGGTTTTACTGGTTTTGGTCAGCCGGCTACAAATAATACCACTACACCATTATTCGGAAACAAAACCACCACTACTGGCTTCGGATCAACATCTACGTTTGGTGCAGCAGTGCCTTCCACATTCGGAACTAACACTGGTTTTAATTCGAGCTCGAATACTGCGTCCTCATTGTTTAACTCATCGTTTAAACCAACTGGGCAACCATCAGGATTTTCTTTCGGAACTACACCTGCATCTTCGACTGGACTTGGTAACTATTCTTGACTTAATATGCGTTATGTAAAAAAAAAGTATTTTTTAAAGCACAGCTTTAAATAACAGTTTTAGCCTACAAACTCATATTTCTTAGTTTTTGAATTTCAAACAGTATATAGTCTTATAGTTAGCTTTTATTAAAAAGTATTTTTTATAGAATTTTCGTAAAACACGATATTTATAGGTTTTGCGCTAAATTTGACTAATCAAAATTTTCGAATTTAGGCAGACTTAATACAGCAGACACAAATTTTAAAAATTATTTTATTCTTATTAAATTTGATTTCTAAGGTTTTTGAATTTGAAACTGGTATCAGAATTTTGGAATTTAAGAAAATATTGTTTTATAAAAAATACAAAATGAAAGTGTTATATTTTGAAATTTTTATTTATTTAGGACATTTAAATTGAATGGTTCATAACAGAAATAATCCTTGTCAAAAATTAAGAAAATTGAGATAGCGTATTTTAAAAGTCAGGTGGAACCTACAATGTGATTGCAATTCTCAAAAAAACAATTTGTGTCTTGATTCATACATATTATTAGGAAGTTTGGATGATTCTATTGAAAACTTAAGGATGACAGAATGTTTTTTTCTTTTGAAAAAATGAAAAAATTGACAAGGGTTGTTTTTGTTTTGAATTCTTCAATTGTCAATCATGATTTCTTGGTTTAATCATTTTATTTTAGGTTTTCTATTTTTTATTTTACAAATTTTTATTTTTAAGTTAAATATTTCTAAAATTTCTTGAAAGTTTTATATAAAATCTTGTTTGAATTTTTAATCGCCACATTGTACTTATAATTCAGAATTCCAAAACTTTCACTGTAGATTTTAATTTAGCAAGAAATCTTGAATTTTTATGTAAGTTTTGTTTTATTATTAAAATTATTTTTGGTTAATAAAGTGTTTTCATTTTTTAATTTTTATATTAAAGGGTATATTAAGGACTTATTAATTCAATTTATATCTAATACTCATTAATATTTGTTATTGTTAGGTACAAACACTGGTTTGAGTTTGAGCGGTGGTTCTTCACTGTTTGGACAACAGAAACCAGGCAGTCTGTTCGGAAATACTGGAAATAATACAACGTTCAACAATCCTGGAACGTTTGGATCTTCTAATTTTGGAATCAATTCTAATATGATGTCTGGAACAGGAATGGGCTTGATTAGTGGAGGGTAATACAATGTTTACATTTGTTTTTACATTATTAATTTAGTCAATTAGAAGCATAATTCCATAAATAATTTATACAGGATGTTCAGGAACGCATAGTGTCATCTTTGAAATTATTAGTGATGTCGAAAAATATTTCAAATCAAAGTTGAATAACTTCGAAGAGAGACTAATCTGATTTTAATAATATTTCTTTAAGGTTAAATTCTGTTTCCGAAAAAATTTACTGATACAAAATTATCTTATTTTGACACGTAGAATATGAATTTGTCATGAAAAATGGGGGATCTATTAAAAAAAAATAACTTTGTTAAAATAGGTCATTTTCGGCTAAATTGGGAATTGACACTATAATATCAAATTATTATAAATATAATAAATTAATATAATAAAAAATTTTTTGTTTGTAAAATTTTTGAAAAATCACTTATATGATTTTAACCTCTTTAAATTCGACTTTTTAATCAAAATTTTTTCATTTAGCATGACAGACTAGATGTAACAGATGCAAATTAAAAAAATTTTTCTATTTATATCAAACTTGACTTCTAAGTGTTCTTGTGATTTTTTATTTTGAATCTGATATGAAAATTTTAAAACTCAAAAAACGATCTTATCTTAAAATATAATATAGTATTAAAAGTATGTAACTTTCGCAATGACAATCGCTTGATAACTCAAGATAACGCTTCACGCACAGCTTCGAGATAACCAATCAGTATCGCGGAAAAGAGACAACAATGAAAATCATACCTTTTTTAAAATAGGAGAGAATTGATATTTTTTGATATTTTATATTATTTAATATTCTCTATTTGATATCAATTATTTTTTATACAGGGTGTTCCCGGATTAAATGGCAAAACTTGAAATACATATTTAGGACCTCAAAACAAAGAAAAATTTCTTTTGGAAGAATGCTCGCAAACGCTTCGTTCAAGAGATATTGACTTCTTAAGTTACAGAACTCTTAGGAGTGTATAATGTCGAAATGTCGCTTTTTGCTTTGTTTTGAAGATCCTAAGTCATTGATAGGCTTATGTTCGCACTGTAAACAAAGCTCCTTTTATTCGTACAAAATAATTTTTAGTCTATTGAATTTCGCAGGGTAAACTTGTATTAAATCAATGCAATTATGCCTCGTTTGTATTCTAATAGTGAATATGCCGATATGGTTTATTTATATGGATTTTGTGACGGCTTTTGTTTAAGCGTACCCCTTTTGTATGGGATACGCTTAAACAAAAAGTGTACGAAATGCCGGTTAATGATTAATCATTAAATAAATGTTTAATCATTAAAACGGAGGATAGAGCAAGCGTGCAATGAAATTACAGCCACACAATGCCAATCAGCCACTCGTTCTGTCATCGATAGATGTAATGCTTGTCTTCGGCATATTCACGACGAGCAGCGTTAGCATTTCCGTCACAAAATCCATATAAATAAACCATGTCGGCATATTCACTATTAGAATACAAACGAGGCATAATTGCATTGATTTAATACAAGTTTACTCTACGAAAGTATTCAATGGACTAAAAATTATTTTGTACGAATGAAAGGAGCTTTGTTTACAGTGCGAACATAAGCCTATCAATGATTTAGGATCTTCAAAACAAAGCAAAAAGCGACATTTCGACATCATACATTCCTAAGAGTTCTGTAACTTAAGAAGTCAATATCTCTTGAACAAAGCGTTTGCGAGCATTCTTCCAAAGGAAATTTTTCTTTGTTTTCAGATCCTAAATATGTATTTCAAGTTTTGCCATTTAACCCGGGAACACCCTGTATATTAAAATATATACGAGAATAAATTTGAAAAGTTTTTAATTAAAAATTTTGTTTACAATTATTACTGAATTTTATGAAATTTTTACTTGTTTATTTTTTCATTAAAAAAAATTCATGGATAGTAATTTTTTTAAATTATAGATTTAAAATTGTGGATATTATGCCAGTATTTTTTTATATTGTCTATAGAAAAAAAATTATCATATATTTCATCTATTAAAAAGAGCTGTTGTATATTCTATATTAAAAAACGCAAAAAAACTTGGCGCTGCTACACCTTAAAGTATTATAAAGC